GTCCCTCAGATTCCTTAATGCAATATGAGAATAATTTTTCTTCTGAGATCATTGGGAATACAGTGTTAAGTAACTTAAAGCACCCGTAGCACACAGAGCTGTGCCTGGTACATGTCAATCCCTCAGTGTATTGCTGCTATTGTGATTGTTTTTATGAATTTCTTCCTATTATTATGTATTAGTTCACTCTTGTTATGTATATAAGATACCACCATAGCCTGAGTCATATATTTAATATCTTAATGCAAATATGATCTCTTGCATTTCTGTATGTCAGAACCTCAACCAGACTATAATCAACGTATCAGCAATGCTGTTTTCCCTTCTGGAGGCTCTACGGGAGTATCTGTGTCTTGCTTTGTGAAATTTCAGAGGCCGACCGCATTCCTTGGCCCTTGACCTCCTGTGCTCATATTCAAAGCCAACCATGTAGAATCCCTTTGACTCATTCCATTTTCATAACTATTTATGATTCAATTTGGGAAATGTTCTCTGCTTTTAAGGACTCATATCATAACACTGAGCCACTGAATAATCCAGGGTAAAATCTCCTCAACTTAAGTACTTCACCTAATCACATCTGCAAAGCTCCATTTACCATGTAGGCCATATATTCATAGGTTCAGGGCATTGAGATTGAGATGTAGGCATTTTTAGGGAGCCATTATTCTCAATATTAAACATTATTAGCAAGTTTTGCATATTTATTAGGAATAAAATTGCAGTGATAGGGGCGCCTGGGTGGCTCAGTTGGTTAAGCATCCGACTCTTGATTTTGGCTCAGGTCATGATCTCAGAGTCCTGAGATTGATCCCTGCATTGGGCTTCACACTGGTGGGTGGAGTCTGCTGAAGATTCTCTCTCCCTCCCCCTGCCCCTCCTCCACTCTCACTCTCTCTCTCTTTTTAAAATAAATAAATAAATCATTTTTAAAAGAAGGAATAAAATTGCAATAATAAATAACAAGGCTTTATAAATGAGGTCTACCCCATTTAAGCCAAAAGAAAGGAAGAAAGGAAAGGAAAGAAAGGAAAGGAAAGGAAAGGAAGGGAAAGGAAAGGAAAGGGAGAAAGAAAGGAAAGAAAGAAAGAAAGAAAGAAAGAAAGAAAGAAAGAAAGAAAGAAAGAAAGAAAGAAAAGAAAGAAAGAAAGAAAGAAAGAAAGAAAGAAAGAAAGAAAGAGAAAGAAGGAAGGAAGGAAGGAAGGAAGGAAGAAAGAAAGAAAGAAAGAAAGAAAGAAAGAAAGAAAGAAAGAAAGAAAGAAAGAAAGAAAGAAAAAGAAAGAAAGAGAAAAGAAAGAAAGCGAAAGAACTGGGGGTGCTCTCTGGATGAGGACAGCCTATGGACCCAACCAGGCCCTCCCCTCAGGCCTGGGCAGACACTCAGTGGATGGTCTGCCCCAGGTCCCCGCCACACAGTACACACCCAGGACTAGTCATGAGGTTGCACACAGGTCAGTGATTATGTCTCTTCACCCTACCCCGACCCCAGGATGGCCACACAGTAGCCTCACCCTGGGTCAGGCCATGCCCTCTTATGGGAAAGCAGTCTAGATTTAGTCTTGAAATTGTCTGTGCAAGGGGGACCTCCTCTGCTTTCTTCTGAGCCATCTGCCCTGCCTTAGCAGCCTCCGTATTCTTTATCATGACACAGGAGATCAACCTCCCCACCCTACAACCCGGGTCAAACAGATGGAAAAAATCCCCACAATCCTGATAGCACACTTGGCCTGTCCCTGTCCCTCAGGCTGCAGTCACTTGTCAGACCCAACTCTCCAGGCCTGTGTATTCTCTTTGGAGACAGTGCTTAACCTGGGCCCACCACAAGTCCAGAGTCCTCTTCCTGGATCCACAGGGATTTTTACATTTGAAACCAAAATGACTATAACACTGTATGCCAACTATACTTCAATCAAAAAAGAAAGAAAGAACGTTAAGCAATGTTCATGCCATGCCTGCTATGGTCTTATCTCAGAGCTGCCTGTATTTCACATTCTTTTAGTCCCAGGGTCTTGTTGCCCCCAATGGGGAAAGACCTCATGCCTCCAGGCAAGAAGGAACAGACACAGGGATATGGTTCTTTGATGAAGGAGAGACCAAAGGTATCAAAAACGAATAGAGTAAATTGAGGAATTTTGTTAACTTTACAACCCCTCCCACCAGCACCCAGAGCAAGAGATAGTCCATGGAGAGTACCTCAAAACTGACTGTACCTAATGGTGTTGGGAAGGTGGCATGGTTTGGAAAGGCTGTTGACATCTGTAGTCTGGTAGAATTGTGGGGACTAGTATTTGGGCAGTTTTGTGTACTAGGGAGGGTTGCTTGTTTAGAGAGATCAGTGGCTGTGAGCAACTGGACAGTTCATATTTTGGGGAAGTTTGAATGTATTGATTTGAGGAAGGCGGGAGATTGAGAGTGATTGTGGCTTTGGAGATTTTGATAGACTTGGGAGATTTTGGCTTTGTGGACGATGTGGGATTAGGGGGACGAGGGTGGGTATTTGGAGACTTTTGAAGAAATTAAGAATTTGGGGCTTGAGAAATTTGGTGGATTGGTTTAGGGCTTGATACACTTGAAGTTATGCGACTGGTGGATTGGGGGAGTTAAGTGGACATGGGGATTTGAGCCTCATGGAAAATTTAGGACTTGAGGAGCTTGGAAAGTTTGAAAATACTGATGCCTTGAGGGAAGATAGAGGTTTGGAGAGTTTGATGTGTTTGAACAAGTGGGTATATTCGGGCAGTATGGTGTGTTTAGGAAATTTGCAGGTTTGGAGAGGCTGAGTGGCATAAGGATATTGGTGGGTTTATGGAACTTGATGGGCATGGATGACATTGTTGGGCTTGAGGAGGTTGACAGGCATGAAATATTGGTGAATTTGGGGAAGTTGTTTTGGTGTGTTTGGTTTTGAAGGGTAGTGTTTTTGGAAGGTTGCTGATTTGTGGAAATTGGCAGCTTTAGGGATGTGGGTAGATTCATAGATGGTGGGGTGTGTGGGATGATTAGGTGCTTTGGACATTTTCTTGGGTTTGAAGAGTGAGAGTTTTGGTGACACCAGTGTGGTGAAGATGGGGTTTCAGAGGAGAGGTTATCAGATTGGGAAGGCATAGTGTTTGGAGACGTTATGGAACTGGGAGACATCGAATGTTTTATGGAGGTTGAAGACCTAAGGTGTGTTTAAGGGTTTGGTTAAATTAGTAGATTTGAGTATTTTAGAAATTTGAAGAAATTAGTTGGCTTGTGGAGGATGGTAAGCTTGGAAATGGGGCTAGACCTCTGTCAGGTGAAACAGAGAAGGCTATGTATTTTTGGTTCCATTTACATTGATTAGTTACATAGGGTAGGCCAATCTTGTTCAACTTTTCACTTGATAGATGCAAGGCAGGGGGTGTTCCATTCAAAACTATGTATCTAGGAAAGCAACCAACCCTTTCCTTATGGATGAATGTGGTGAATATAGCCGAGATCATCATTCCTCTTCACCCTAGTCCTGTTCCCATCCCAATCTGGGGGAGATAATAAGATCAGAGGATCAAGGTAGAGAAAGAAGAGGCAAAGAAGAGTGACAAAGTAGAGAAAGAAGAGGCAAAGAACTGGGTGAGGGAGGAAGGACTAAGGAAACAGAACAGAGAACAGCATGATGGGGCAGGGAACAAAAAGTAGGAGCAGGGAGCAGTGGTACAAATCAGAGAAGAGAGCATGGAACAAGGTGATGGGGCAGAGAAAAGAGAGAAGAAGCAAGGAAGAGAAGAGGGACAGGTAATAGGGAAATAAAGGCCACAAATGTTCCTGCACTGCGGGTACAACTGAAGGAGCCAGTCACGGCAGAAATACACTACAAGTTGCGTTGTTTCTACTCACAGCTGTGTTCTTCTTCCCACTCCAATTTTCACTGTATATATTCAGGTTCAATTTCCTAGCAATCAAGAAGTCTAGAAAGAAAATAACCCATGGCAGGAGGGTCATCACAATATATCCAAATAGGCACAGGCAAGTTCCTAGTGTGGTTTATGAATTGTCAGTTCCAGAGACTCTATCCGTCCTGGGGCAAGTATAGAAGTAGGCATGGTTGTGCAGCCCTGGGAACTATGTTCTAGTGACCACATGAAAAAAAAAATGTCCTTAGACAGGGACGCTTTCCTGTGCTTGTGGGTGCAGCCTAGTATGGAAGTGTTTGTGCAGAGGATGAAGAGGGCAAGTATCTTGAGATTGATCAACTCACCCCAAACGCAGAATTTCCCAGTGGAGATGCCCACTTTGGGATGTAAGAACAATTATTCTCCTTAGCAGTCATATAAATAAACTCAAACACCCTTCAGTTTCCTTGATCCTCTGTAATGAGGATTGAAAAGTATTTATATGAGTGCAGGGTCTTACTATGTCTTCAGGATTCATTGGACTCCAGAAATTTACTCCCCTCTTGGCAGAGTTGTTTTTTAATACCTTGTATTCCGGTGGGAATATGGATGTGGGAAGAGTTGGTTTGTTTACCTGGTGATGTAGATTCATGAAAAAGCATATTCTAGCTGACATGACAAGAAACTTGGAATTGGGCACATCCCGCTGAGGGGAAGCAAGTCACAATTGGGGATCCCTTATCGGGAAGGGATGGAAGAGTTTGCCCTTCAGTTTCCTGAGGAGAGAGTGCTCAGAGGTGGAGTCTATTTCTCCTGCGATTCCCCAACGTAAATGGAAATCCTGCGGGCATTGGAGCTGGGGACTCCACTCTGCCGGTCCCCGAGGGCTTTGCCCTGCGATGTTCTGGCCGGGGATAAAAACAAATCCAGCTCAGGCACTATCTAAACTAGGGAGGGAGGGCACCCTCTAGGGGGCGGGTCCCCGGCGGCGACGTCGCGCCTCCCCTCGCCCAGCCAATGGTAGCGCGCAGAGGCCGGAGGGGCATTTTCCTCAACCAACCAGAGCTCCTAGGCCTTTCAAAGCCACGCCTGCGTGTCCCTCCTTTAAGCCAGGACTCCTAAACCGCATAGCCCCGCCCACAGAGCTCTTTCGGAAATGAGGTCTACCAGGCCTTCGGCGGATCTGGGCAAACCCTGGGCAGCCTGCACATCGCCTTCGTAAGCTCACTCCCCCCATCTCCATGAGCAAGCTTCCCTTTTTCCAGAGGCTGTCGAGCCCTTTGTCTGACTACAGAGAGACACACGAATACTTCCCACTTCTGAGAAGCCCGTCTCTCGCTTCTTTAGCAACCGAGCCCCATAGGTTGGCCAGGCTGCGCACAGCGCTCCGATTGGAAGCGGGGACTGCCCGTCAAGCATTTCCTCTCGGCACAGACTACTCCACTCCACCCTTCGCCTTTTCAGGTGGATTAGGGAAAGTGAAGTTGCCTCAATTCTGGGGCGCACGCCTATTGGTCGGACATTGGTATCCATCATGACCGAGGCTGTGAAAGCCCTCGAGCCTTCGATTGGGTCCGGGGATATGTCAGTCAAGATGGGCGGGTGCAATCGCAACGCAGCGCACAGTATTGGTGGAGCTACGGCGCGGCCGGAGCGGGTGCGGAACCGCAGGAGGAGAGCCGGCTTCTCTTGATTGGGCCACAGGGAGGCCCTCCGACTCCGGACTGGTTGAACGCGAGCCGCGCCCCCGTCACGCCGACAGCCGGCTGCAAGGGGAGCTGCCGGGCTCGCCTGTGTTAGCCTTGCGAGCCAGGGCGGTGAGAGGAGTGCATAGGCGGTTCGCCGGGTCCCCAGCCAGGCCGACGTAAATCCGGAGTGGCGCGCGTCATCTCAACGGTGAGGGGACGCCAGTGGGCGGCGGGAGACAGGGCCCCGGCGCGGCGGAGAGCGAATAAAGCTCCGCAGCCGGAAGGGTCTTCAGAGTGGCGTCGTACCCGGAAGTGTGGCACGACGGCAGCCGCACCCGGAAGTATGATGCTCCCGCTGCTCGGGAAGTGATGGCACCCGGCCAGTTGGGATACGGGGTTAAAACAGGTGTTTATGTCTCTGTATCTGCTGAAGCTCATTAGAACCTCCCTTTCCGGGAAATGTCGGAGGGTGCAAGTAGTTGGTCATGTTTTTGCTTGTCTCATCCTGTTGAAACCCGAGGGGAAACGAGCAGTAGGCATGTGTCCAAGGGGGCCAGGCTCAGCAGAGGCTTTTAAGAAGTTTCTTTTGCTTCCTGTCACCCTCAATTCCTTTACCCCACAGGGATGTGCAGATGGAGGCTGGAGGAGACACTAAAGCCCCAGCCCCTGGGGACGCGGAGGACTTGGAGGACACTCGGTTCCCCAGTGAGGAGGCTGGAGAGGATGGAGGGGTTCACGAGGACCCGCCGGATCCTGGAGAGGGGGACCTGGAGAAAACAGGTATGTCTTCCCCTCACTAGGGTCTTGGAAAGAATACCTAGAGGGTGTCATTGTTGGGGGAGGTCAGAGGGGGACAAGTGAGGAATCTTTTGGGACTCAGGAAAGTGGTTTAAACCGCAGCAGGATCAGTAGGAGGCCATTGTGGACACACGGTGTAGTTTAAATCATTGAGGAATGAAAAGGTAATCAGTAGGTGTCAATGGATGTTCACCGGGGACTTGATCTGAGTTCAGGTCTTTGAGGAATCGTTGGGGTCAACGAAGGGTATTGGGGATTTAGGATGTTTAGGTCAATGAATGACCAAAGAAAGTTAATACAATCAAAAGGAAACTATTTAGAAGTCAGTGTCTTTGGGGGCTAGGGTGTTATTTAAGTCATTGAGGTGGGAAAGGGGATCAGTGGCAACCAATGCGCATTCAGTGTTTACATCATTGAGGAGTCAGTGGTGAGTTGCTGGTGGCAGTCTTTAAGGAACCAAAAATTAGATGTTAAGGGCGGTCATTGGTGAGGAGGCAGTGGACATCAGTGAGATTATGTGGAGAGTCAGAGGACCAGTAGGAGGGTCTTTGAAGACTTAGTGGATGTGTGAAGTTATTTGATGGAGACTCAATGGGAGTCATTGGGGAAACAATGCTTATTGACCACCTGGGAATGAGTGGATGTTAGTGGCATCATCAAGAAGGATGAGTGGACATCACTGAGAATAAATGGTGGGTGTTGGGGGGGTGTCTTTGAGAATTTGGAAATTATTGGCAAGTAATGGCAGGTATTGGGAGGGTAATTGGGAGGACAACATGGGGGATTGGCAAATGTCAATCGGAGAATGAGGGAATATGAGGTCATTGGGATTTTATGGGAAAGTTGTTGAAATAATGGTTGTTAATGGGGGATCAGTAGACATTGGAATAAATGGGAGAGGTGTCAAAGCAATCAGTAGGGGGCAGTGAAGTTGTGGGTTTTATTGCTGATTGTTAATGATGGTCATGAGGAAGGGCGGTGGACAACATTATCATAGTCCTATGTGTTAGTGTAATTATGGTGGGTATTTTTTTTTTTTTTAAGATTTTATTTGACAGAAAGACAGAGAGTGAGGGAACACAAGCATGGGGAGTGGGAGACGGAGAAGCAGGCTTCCCACTGAGCAGAGAGCCTAATGCAGGGCTCAATCCCAGGACCCTGGGATCATGACCTGAGCCAAAGGCAGATGCTTAACAACTGAGCCACCCAGGTGCCCCTTGGTGGGTATTGTAAGGAGTGGAGTGGATTATCAATGAGAATAAAAGGAGGTCAAGGAAGTTGGAGGAGGTCACTGAAATCCTGGATGTTAGTGGAAATTAATAGTAGTCATTGGGGAGAAGGGAGAATTAAATAAAAGAGGGTCAGGGGAAGTTATTTGAAGTCTTGGATGTTAGTAGAGGTTCATGGTGGTCATGGTGGGGATGGAGTGCACATGAGGTAAAATAGATTGTGTGTCAGGGCAGTCACTGGAGGTCACTGGAGACCCAGGTATTAATGGAATAACTGGAATGTTAGTGAAAAGCAGTGGGCATAAATAGGGGCTTAGGGGAGGCTTAAAGATCTGGGTGCTACTGGATATTCATGGCAGTCATTGGAAGAATTAGTGGTTATCACCAAAAATATACGTGGTTGATGAGGAGAGTCAATGAGGTCATTAGGGATCAGTGAACATCCATGAGAATGAGTAAGGGATTAGGGAGGGGTGGGGCAGTGGGAAGGATTTAAATGAGAGACTGTAGAGATATTAGTGGATGTCATGATGGCCAATGAGGGGTGAGTAGATACTAGGAGAATACATGAGGGGTCAGAGGTGTTAATGGTGGATCATTGAAGATGAAGATAATAATGGTCATTCAGAAGCAATAGGGTGCTTTGAAGACTTGGAAGTGTCAGTTATTGACAGGAGAATAAATAAGCTTTAGGGACATAGAGGGTTCTGTAATGACAGTGAGAGATTGGATTGTTGGGGTTTTAGGGGGATCATGTGGAGGTCATTGAGGGGTAGAGGGGACACCTGGAGGTCTGTGTCAGTATCACGGGTCATTGGGGGGCTGGTAGAGATTTGGTAAGTCCCTGGGCACATGGGGTTAAGGGGAGTCCACAGCCAGAATGACTCACCAGGATTTCCCTTTCAGAACCCGAGACGAAGGATCAGCCACCCGGCCTGCTGTCACCCCTGCCCCAGTCAGAGGCCCTGTCATGCACCTGTGGGCTTTGGGATCCTGCGACCTCTGAGGATAGTCCCCTGGGTGACCCCGAGAGTGGCTCTGGGGGCCAGGGTGGGGACCCCAGTGATGAGGACTGGCGCAACAAGAGAAAGCACGTGTTTGTGCTGAGCGAGGCAGGCAAGCCCATCTACTCCAGGTATGGTAGCGTGGAGGCACTGTCGACGACCATGGGTGTGATGACAGCCCTCGTGTCCTTCGTACAGAGTGCAGGGGATGCCATCCGCGCCATCTACGCTGGTGAGCAGAGGTGGGGGAGAGGGAGTGGGGAGAGCAGGGGATGGTGGACAGGAAAATGGCTGGCTGGGAGACTATCCACGCAGCCCTCTGTGTATATGGCTGGCTGGCTAGGCATCTCTCTCTTGTCCATCTGTTTGGCCTGCTGGGTTCTGAGTGATTAACTCACCTGGACCCGAGTCACTGGCTGGATACTTCTGTGACTTTGGGGGCTCTCTGGGTGTCTCTGGGTTTCCGTGTCAGTCCTTGCTCTGTCTTCCCCTGATCCATGCTGTGTGTCTAACCTGATTCCTTGACCATCCCATCATGTGTCTACGAATAACCCAAACTCCCCCCAGTTGTCCTTATCCTCGTGCAAGTGTGCCACAGAGTGACCATGTGAGCCCGGGCCGGGAGTGCGTGTGTTCAGGGACAGAGCAGAAGAGCCCCGCCTGAGCCCTCCAGCGGCAGCTGACCCATGTCTACCCCCTGCCCCCCTTCCCTCCCCCAGAGGACCACAAGCTGGTGTTCCTACAGCAGGGCCCACTGCTGCTGGTGGCCGTGTCAAGGACTCCTCAGTCAGCAGCCCAGCTACGCGGGGAGCTGCTCGCCGTGCACGCGCAGATCGTGAGCACGCTCACGCGTGCAAGTGTGGCCCGCATCTTCGCGCGCAAGCAGAACTACGACCTCCGCCGCCTGCTGGCCGGTTCGGAGCGCACCCTAGACCGGCTCCTGGACAGCGTGGAGCGGGACCCCGGGGCCCTGCTGCTGGGCGCCGTGCGCTGCGTGCCTCTGGCTCGCCCGCTGCGGGACGCCCTGGGGGCGCTGCTACGGCGCTGCACGGCGCCTGGCCTGGCCCTCTCGCTGCTGGCGATCGGAGGCCGGCTGGTGACGGCGGCCCAGGAGCGGACTGTGCTCGCCGAGTGCCGGCTGGACCCAGCCGACCTGCAGTTGCTGCTCGACTGGGTGGGGGCGCCGGCCTTCGCGGCGGGGGAGGCGTGGGCACCTGTGTGCCTGCCCCGCTTCAACCCCGACGGTTTCTTCTACGCGTACGTGGCGCGCCTGGACGCCATGCCGGTCTGCCTGCTGCTGCTTGGCACCGACCCCGAGGCCTTCCATGACATGGCCACGTGCAGGCGCCTGCTGGAGGAGGGCATGCACGGCCTTGGCGCCATGCGGGCCCTGGGGGAGGCTGCCAGCTTCTCGAGCGCCCCAGCAACCAGTGCTCCCGCCTACAGCGTGCAGGCTGTGGGGGCGCCCGGCCTCCGACACTTCCTCTATAAGCCGCTCGATATCCCCGACCATCACCGCCAGCTGCCTCAGTTTACCAGGTAGGCCCGGACCCTGCGGGCAGTTGGCTGGGCAGGAAGCCTTATCCAACTAAAAGGTTCAGCGTCTCATAGCCATGAGGTGGGAGGGAGCCAGGCATTCTCTAGGAGGATGGAATCGAACGGGAGTCTGTCCACTGAGGGAGGCTCAACCAGCAGCCTCAAGGAGTCCCTCCATTCTGATGAAGAAGAGGGCCCCAGTACTCCTGGAACCCCCCGGTTGCTGGGCCAGCTGGGCCTCCAACCACTGAGAAACCTCAAGTCTAAGGGGGGCGGCTGGGCTCCCTCACTTAATCGAACTCCCTAGGCTGAGGGGAGACAGGCGAGCCAAGCAAGCCTCTGATTGACCGTGGCCTCTCCTCCCTCCATCCCGGCAGCCCTGAGCTGGAGGCCCCGTACAGCAGAGAGCAGGAGCGGCAGCGCCTGTCCGACCTGTACCACCGTCTGCACGCGCGCCTGCACAGCCCCTCCAGGCCCCTGCGCCTCATTTACCACGTGGCTGAGCGGGAGACGCTGCTGGCCTGGGTGAGTCGGCGAGGGGCCTGGAAGAATTCGTTCCTGACTTGAAGACTCCTCTTCCTCCACTCCGTCCACTCTGACCATGCCTTTGCCTGCATCCCCGTTCCTACCATTACACAGGTGTCTTTGAAACTCGTAAGGATTGCACGGTCTACAACCCTCCCTTACCACTGTTCTTCTCCTTGTTTCCCCATTGGCTACCAGTACAGTGTCTCTGACTTGGAAGAGGTCCCATTAACAACCATCAGCATGCCTCTTGTTTTCCCAGGAGCCCTGCCCGTGTGTCTACCAGTTCAGTTTTCGCTCTGGGAGTCCCCAGCACTCTTGAACACTACAGGCTTGGTCCCACGCTGTGCCTTCTACCTGGGGTGTCCTTCCCTGGGGTCTTCAGGGCTCCTCTCCTCATTCCCATGGGTCGATTAAGGGTCAGCCATTCAGGGACTTTGACCAAGGTGACCCCACTGGAAACGGCACCTTCCCTCAGGCTCTGCCATTTGGCAGACATGTATTAAATCATTTATTGTATGCTTATTGGGTGTGAGGCATTGTTCTCACCCGAGGATTATATTAATTTTAAATTTTTTTAACTTCCATTTCCAAGCAATTTTAGACTTACAAAGAAGCTGCAAAATAGTACAAATAATTACTATAAATAGGTTCTTCCCCTAGTTTCTCCAAATGTTAACCACAGGAGCTTATTAAAATCAGGAAATTAACATCAATACAACAACATCTAATCCACAGATTTCATTCAGATCTCACCAGTTGGCCCACTAATGTCCTTCTACTGGTCCAGAATCCAGTCCAGGATCTTATATTGGTTTATTTATTGTTATCTTCTTAGTCTCATTGATTCTAGAATCCTTAGTTTTTTTTTGCATGTCCTTGACACTTTTTAAAGAGTACCAGCTAGTTTGTAGGATGTCCCTCAACTTGGGGTTTTCTAATACTTTATCATGACTGAATTAAGGTCATGCATTTTGGGCAAGAATATCCCAAGAGTGAGTGATATGCCCTTCTCTGCACCTGATCAGGAGATCCACAGTGTCATTTGTCCCACTGTTGATTTAACTTAGATCACTTGGTTAAGGTGCTGTCTCCCAGATTTCTCCACTACAAAGTTAGTGTTTTCCCCCTTTATAATTAGTAAATATCTTTTTTTTTTTAAAGATTTTATTTATTTATTTGAGACAGAGAGAATGAGAGACAGAGAGAGAGCATGAGAGGGGGAGGGTCAGAGGGAGAAGCAGACTCCCTGCCGAGCAGGGAGCCCGATGCGGGACTCGATCCCGGGACTCCAGGATCATGACCTGAGCCGAAGGCAGTCGCTTAACCAACTGAGCCACCCAGGCGCCCCATAATTAGTAAATATCTTGTGGGGATTATGTCAGGTTTCTGTTTTCCATCACACTTTCATCCCCTGACTTTAATAGCCATTAATGATTCTTGTCTGCAACAGTTACTGCTCTGGTGTTTGCCACGTGTGATTTTTGAACTCTGTCATCCCTTCTACATTTATTCTTTGGGATTCTACTACTATATGGAAGAACTTTTCCTCCCCCTGTTTATTTGTTGAATTTTTAATTTTATAGCAATATGGTCTCATGGATTTTTCTTTAAGTCAGTGGGCTACAAGCCTTTTCTGTCATTCATTTTGGTGCTCAAACTATCTTGATTTAGTCGGGCTGGGCCCTGTGTCTTTTTTTATACGTCTCCATCGATGTCTGAGCATTCCTTTTTTCTGGCACACGACGTTCCAGGCTCGTCATGTACTTTCTCTGTGCCAGTCCTGGAATCAGCCATTTGTCCAAGGAGTCCTTGTTCCTTTTGGTGGAGAATGGCATTTCAAAACCAAGATATGGTAGGCTCAGGATTTTAAATTGGGTTGTGAGGGGATGACTCACTGAAGAGATGGCATAAGGGGGAGGTAGTGGGCTATGTGGGTATCTGGAGGGAGAGGGAAAGGACCGTGCAAATGCTGTAAGGTGAGACAGAACCTGTATGTTTGAGGAATAGCAGGGAGAGGTTAGAGTGGCCCGGAACAGAGTGAGTGAGGGGGAGAGCAGTGAGAGAGGTGATACAGAAAGGTATAGTGACCTGGTCAGGTTGGGTCTCTGGTTGGTATAAGGATTAAATTGAATTAATCCTCCTATCATGCCCAGGCTGCAAATGATGAAAACAAGTATGTGGAGCTGAGAACAGAACCTTGTATACGACAACTGCTCAGTAAATGTTAAGCATTGTTGTTTTCCCTGGTCCACAGATGAGCAAACTGAGATCTAGGGAGTACGCACACACACACACACACACAGAGCCAGCGGCCACTAGATTAGCTGATTCCTTGGCCCTACTGAAAACCCCTGGCCCACCATGACACAATATTAGTTTACCAATTTTAGCCCAGTGACCAGGTAGCACCTGGTGGGAACCCTTGCCAGATGGGTTTTCCAAACAAGAGACGGGCATGGGGCTCGGGTGGGGTGGACAGGACTGGGCATGGTCAGCTCTGGCCTAACTGACTCTGTCTCCTCTCAAACCTGCAGGTGACTTCCAAATTTGAACTCTATACCTGCTTGAGCCCCCTGGTGACAAAGGCAGGTGCCATCTTGGTAGTGACTAAACTCCTGCGCTGGGTGAAGAAAGAGGAGGATCGACTCTTCATTCGTTACCCACCCAAGTACTCCACACCCCCAGCAGCCCCAGCTGCCTCTACAGACCAACCTTCCCATAACGGCTTGTTCCCTGGACCTTGAGAGGTGGAGTTCTCAGATTGGGCAGTGCTGAGAACCACCACTTTTGGTTTTTACCTTCTGTCTCCACCCTGGGAAAGGGGCAGGAGGGACAGAGGAAAGGCTGCTTCCCCAGCCCCGTCATGCTCCTCCATCTCTGGGAAAATCCTTCGGCCCCTCTGCCTCACCTCTATCACTCGGATGATATTCCTCTGTCAGGGGCTGTCTCCTCCAGTCCTGGGCAGCACACCCTCTGTCCTGCATCAGGAGTCTGCCTCCTTGATGGGCTCTCAGCCCTAAGTGTCTAGGGTTGGCCAAGGTCCCTTTGGGTGGTCCGCAGGGGCTCTGGAATTGGGAATGCATGGCCAGCCTTCATGAAAGGCTTAACGAAAGAAACAGTACATAAAAGACCTAAAACCAGTTCCCACAAGGACATTCCTTTGCCCTTCATGTACTTCATCTTTACCTGGTCAAAAGTGGCCCCCATCAACGTTGGCTGCTGCTGATACCGGTGAGAAGGTGGCCTCCAGGGCAGAACACCTGACTTCACAGGTGGCTGAGATCCAGACATCCTGCATGGGAGGTGCACTCGGCTTCTAAGGCTCATTGAACTCCTTCGTCAAGTGCAGAAAACCTCGCATAGGCTATTACGTGAGGATTTGTGAACGAAGGGGGACTCGAACTCCTGGGTACCACCGCACAGCTCATGTATATTTGTCTCGGACTTCCACAACCTGCACCACACGCAACCCAGAGAGGGCAAGGCTTCCCTAGAGTTCGTACGTGTGTGCACAGCACTCCCCCCTCAACCGACCGAGACCCAGTTGTGCCCGTTCCCCTACACTGGAGCTGGTGGACGCGAGGTTACGCATGCGCGCTAACTGTCGTTCAGGGGCCCGCCTCCGTGCTTGGCGGGAGCTGAACCCTCACCGCGCCTCCAGCCTGGGCGACTGACGAGCAGACGCGCAGTGCACGCATGCGCGCCGCAGAGCCTGTGTCCCTCGTGGTGTTTTTTTGGGTTTTTTGACCAGTCGTCGTCCAAGGTGCACGCAAGCGCAAGCCCCGCTTTGGAAAATGGCGGGCAAGTTGGAGCCTTTGAAAATGGAGGCCCCCGAAGTGGTAGAGGAGGCCGAGGAGGCTGAAGGTAGGGAGGGCGAGCCAGCCTCTCCCTGGCCAGGGCAGACGGGGGGGAGCCTTGTCGCGTTACAGTAATGAAATATGAATAGTGTACTAAAAAAATTAAGCTTTTTACGAAAACAAAAACTTCACCAAAGGGGAGAAAAATAACGTGCATATTCCTATCGTCTAGATTAACCCAGCTTTATCGGGTATATTGGTTTAAGTGTTTCGAAGAAACAATAGACTATTTCAATATGCATCTCTTCAGACAAAAAACGGGGATGGATGTCGTCACAAAAACCACTCTGCTCCTGCCACACCGAGGAGAAGCAACAGTAATGCCCCGGTATCATTTCACACCCAGCCCATATCGCGTTTCACATGGACTCTTAAGTCGGAATGAGAGTGGCCTCTCCCATGGATGGCTCCTTTCCTTGGCGCACTTTGTCTATAACGACACCCCCACCCTAGTGAGGGGGAGGGGATTGCTCTAAGGGTAATTAGAAATTACCGCGAAGCCAGAAGAAGAAACCCTCCCAATTCAGTGATCCACTGCTATGCCACTAACTTTTTTTTTTTAATTGTAGACATTTTTGGAAATGTCCCAAAGTACAGCAAATAATACGGTGAAGGCCCATGTACCCACCACTCTTGTTTCAACAGCTCTGGACTTTCTGCCCTCCTTTGATCTATCTTTGTCCCCCTTCCTGCACACTCCTTAAACCACTGTATTAATAATAACATTTGGACTGCATCTTTCCAGATCTATCTATGCAGACACCAACAATAATTATGATTGTTCACTGCTTTATTGTTATTTCTCCAGCACCTAAAACAATGCTGCTTGGCATATAGTAGGTGTTCAGTAATTTTTTTTTTATTATTGTATGAATAGTAACTTTAACTGGAAGAGCTCTCTTAGGTTAGGGCTATACATCAAGGGCCTTCAACAAAGGACATTCAGAAGGAAGACAGATGCAAATAGATCTCATTTATTAAGCACTTACTATAGCACTTAAAATAGTAGCAGCTGTGCTAAAAACTATTTTCGTATCAAGCTTTCAAATGAGTCAAAATTGAAGTTCTGATTAACTTCACCAGCAAAGGGGAAAATTGAACATGTTAAGTATCATTTTAGCCCATTGAAAATGGCTTTAAAAAGAGAGGGATAAATCTAGTTCTGATTACTCTGTAGGGAAACAGGCTCTCTTTTGCCTCACTCAGAACTGACCAGTAAAAGCTTTGCTAGAAGCAGTTTGGCAGAATTTTTAGCATCTAAAATGCTATTCCATATCTGTAGTCACCATGCTTGATAATCATAAAATGTGCAGATGTGTGGACCATGAAGGATCATTGGAGTGTTGTTGATGGAAGCAAAACGCGAGGAGCAATCAGGGAAATGTCTAGATTTAGATATGTCCATGCCTATTGTGGAATGCCTGTGTGGTGGACATCTTTTTAAGCAGTAAGAAAACAATAAGATAATTAAAAATTAATTTTTAAAAGAGTAAGATCATGGTTTATTGACACAATGAGCTTCAAAGGTGATCATACTTTTATGAGAGAAAAGCAAGTTGGGATTTAAAAAAAAAATTAAAAAGACGGGTAATGTCAACTAGAGCCCTAGGTATATTGCACAGTGTCTGAAGGCTAAAGGCCTAACTAATGACTCTCAACAAGGGACTTAGGTTTTTAGGAGTGTGCAAAGGTGGAGGCATTTTTGTGATTTTTTTTGTTTTATTTTTCTTTCAGGAAAATGTAGTGCTGTATGATTTTAAAATAGAGAAAGGAGGAAATTTTGAATGGCATCCAAGGATCACATATTAATACTGATCAATATTACCATCCCAGTTTTGATGGTTATACTGTGGTTACCTGGCAGAGTCCTCTTTTATTTAAGAAATATACACTGGAATATTAAGGAAAAATGGGCCATGATGCCTGCAATATATGGTACAGAAATGCTCACAAATGAGAAATCTAATACAAAGGCAAATAGGAGCACTGTGGCCTTTTTCTACCACTTTTATGTACATCTGAAATTATTTCAAAATAAAATGTTAAAAGGGACTCATGCTGTACAGACTGTTTTGTAATATGGATTTCTCAGGAATTTTTATCAAGATGTTAGTCGGGTTATTTAAGAGATTTACTGATCACTCATGATGATTCAGACTAGAAATGAAGTAGAGGGGAAAAATACAGATGGAGCTTTCGCAGAAATGGTTACAAAAATCAGCTGTAAAAGACATGGGGACAATCGAGAAATCCCATTTGTCTGGGCACTGGATGATACTACATGATGATTGTTAATCTTAGTGTAATGACAGGATTGGACTTATCTAAGAAAATGGCCTCAAGTAGTTGAGACTCTTAATGAAATACCTGGGGATGAAATATCATAAAAGCATAGGGCTTGCTTGAAAATACCACAGGAAAAACAGCTGAAGCAAATATGGATGAATATTAATGGCTGTCAGATCTTAACGATATGCATAATCAAGAGCTCATCAGGTGTCCTATTTTCATGTGTGTTTGAAAATTTTCATATGCAATACTACAAAGAAAATAATTAAATATTTCCCCTTATTAATAAAGTAGCTTTAATTTTTTTTGTTTCATTTCCAAATATTAAAAGAGTATTGTAGAAATTAAAGTCTCAAGAGGAGACATATCCGTTATTATGGATTATATTGGAGAAACGTAGGAAGATTTTGGGCCAACGAGAGAAAGGGAGGTTTCATTTTTAACTTCACGTATTTGGTAGTGTTTGAATGTTTTGGGGGGTGAGAAAGTAAAAAAGCAATGCATGAAATACATTTTACTAAAAGATCTGAGTGTGTTCACCAAACTGTTGGCAGTAGTTACCTCTAGGAAGGGAAGTGACTCACTGAAGAAGGACTTGTTCCTGAGAGGAAGCTGTTACTTTTTCATCCATGGTTTTCTACATTTGTCTATTAAATAGTTAAAAATTCAAATGCAAAATTAACTTAATGCATACTAACTTGTAAATGATTTGAGACCAGACATGTAAAGAAAGTGAACATACCACCAAAACACCATACCACCAAACATTTTACCAAAACTTAAATTTACAACATGATTTTTTTTAAAAAACTTATTTATTTATTTGAGAGAGCAGGTAGGGGCGGGGTGGGGGTGGGAAGGAAGAAGGAGAGAAAGTCTCAAGCAGGCTCTGCATTAAGTGTGGAACTCAACATGGAGCTTGATTTCATGACCCTGAGATCAAGACCCGAGCCGAAACCAAGAGTTGGAAGTTTAACAGACTGCACCACCCAGGCATCCCTACAACATGATTTTTAATGGCTACAAAAGATTTCATCCTATGAATGTGCTATAATTAACTAAAATATCTTTAGGTTGCTTCAGTTTTTTAAGATTAGAAATAATGAGCAACTTGCCCACCATTTATTTCCTTGGGGTAGATTCCTAGATATGGAATTTCTGATCTAGAGGATTTGAGTAATTTTTTTGGTATTTACTACCAAAAAGGTTGAAATGTAATACTGGTTTTGCCTATCAGATTGGCACAAATGAAGAAGTTGGAAAACATAGTTGGCTGCTAAGAATATGGGGAAGGAATCTTTTATGGGCCTGCTTGAAACAAGTGGAGAGCAATTTCATAAAACCAGTCAAATTTAGTAATACACATGCTCTTTGATCCAGCAGATGGCCTAGTAGGAATTTATCTAGTAAATATACTCCCATGCATGCACAAAAAGAATGTATAGGGATGGTTTTCTTGTTGAATTGTGTCCCTCCCCAAAATTTATGTCTATCAGAACCTAAAAATGTGGTCTTATTTGGAAATAGGGTCTTTGTACGTAAAACTAGTTAAGATGAAGTCATCCTGGATTAGGATGGGCCCTAATCCAATGACTGGTATCCCTATAAGGAGAGGGAAACTTGCGCATAGAGAAATACACAGAATGCCAGGTGAAGAGCCAGCCTACATCAGGGCTGGGGCAGACAGCTGGCTGGGTTTGAGGTTCAACCCCCAGCCCAGGCCATCTGCAACTAAAATACCATGACCCATTGGTCTGTTTGGTCTGTTCCAAATAAAAGAGAACCTCTCCTTCCTCCAGCCTGGCACGCTCCTGCCCCACGTGGCCACCTGCATGGGAGCTGCTGCCTAGGCTAAAATTAGGTAGAGAAATCACAGGACTGGAAATGCAGAGTCTTCCAGATGACTGGAAGTCATCTCCATACAGAGCCCTGAAATTGGGACTGAGAGAAGTTAGAGATCTCTAAAAGGAAGACCCATTTTGTGGTACTTTGTTATGGCAGCCCAAGAAAACTAATACAGATGGTCACTGTGGCATTGTTTTTAACAGCAAAAGAAGGGAAATAACCTGAAGATCTATGAGTAGGGGCCTTCTCTTAAATTATGGTCTATCTGTTCAGCGGACCATTATGAAGCCACTGAAAAGAATAAAAAGATCACTGTATACACAGTCAAACGAAAAATAAGATGTAGAGCACCATTTATGACACACCACCACTTAAATAGCATGAGTGGACTTGTGAATTTAATTATCTCCAACTACACAACAGATAGCTTGTAACACTAGTGGTCTCTTTGAAGGGGAAGTGAGGAAGTTAGGGTCTGAGGAGGAGGGATTTTGCACTGTAACTGTGAGTAAGCATCTCTTCTTTTACCTTGGGACTATCAGATGCGTTTTGTGAGCTGCCTTTCATTTTCTCTGCCCAGTGTTCCTTGGAGAGGAGTGAGTCACTGGACTTTGACCTTTTATCATTGATTTCAAGAGTTTAAGATGTTAACATTTTTCCTGTGGGTTTTGTTGTTGTTGTTATAATTTTAAAAGTAACACAGGCTCATGTTAAATACATGTATCTATGGTGAAAAGTATCTTTGAATCAGGTTCCAAGTAAGGTCTTTTCCTCACAATTGAATGATATATGTGTCAAGTTTCTTTTAATCAATAGAGTTTCCCCTCTCCCTTTTTTTTTTCCTTTGCATTTTATTTGTTGAAGAAACCAAATTGCCCTGTGGTGTTTTCCAGCATCTGCATCCCCATGGTGTCACTTAACATGTTTCTCTGGCCCTTTTATTTCTTCTGAGTTGGTATTTAGGTACAGAAATCTGGTAAGATTCCTGGGTTGTTTTGTTTTGTTTTGGTTTGATTTGGTTTTTGGCAAGAATCCTTCATAAGTGGTGTTGTGTTCTTTCGTGAGGAGGCTCATAATATCTGGTTGTCTTCCATTTCCTACATCCATTAGTCCTTTAAGAATTTGCAAATTGTGACCTATAATGATTTCTTTAAAAATTCATATGCCATCTTTCTGCCCTTCTGCATCAGTTAGAACTTCATACTGATTTTAAACAGCAGCAGTGAAAGTGCTGTTTCATTTCATTAAGGGAATGCCTGAGATGTCCTTTGACCTCTTAGGAGAAGCTGACCATTAGGAGTCCTGATTCATCCAGCACACATCAGATCAGAAAGCTCAGGGGCAAGGGACAGGGTCTTGCAGGAGACCTGCTCTGTCTGGAAGCCTGCTCCCCCAGCTTGTCCTCAGTTCCAGCCCAGGGCTTCCACAGAACTCACTGCACCATTCTCCCTCCCTTCCCCAGATAGGCGTGGCCTTTCCTCCATCCTGTAATTCTTGTTTTCATCTCCCCAGGGCACACCAAGTCTTTGAAGATGACTGAAGACCTGCTGGCAATGGTGAAAAAGCTGCAGAAAGGTCATGTATCTCTTTGTGTCTGAGGCTCAGCCTGGGGTTTTGAGGCAGGCAGATATGGTTCCAACCCAGTCCCCTCATCTCACATGGGACTGGGTTGGAAATTATCCTGGGAAATTATCCCATTATGCATTTTCCCTCTTGTTCAATTTAATTCTTTGAACCAAAAGTACAGCTTCAAAAATCAAGAAGAATAAGGGAATGGAAAACCCTACTCTCTTACACACACACACACACACACACACACACACACACGCACCTGCCATCCATGTCCCTGGCTTAAGGGCTAGCAGCAACTATTTTTAAAATTCTTAGGTATTGGGGCGCCTGGGTGGCTCAGTTGGTTAAGCGACTGCCTTCGGCTCAGGTCATGATCCTGGAGTCCCGGGATCGAGTCCTGCATCGGGCTCCCTGCTCGGCGGGGAGTCTGCTTCTCCCTCTGACCCTCCCCTCTCTCATGCTCTATCTCATTCTCTCTCTCTCAAATAAATAAATAAAATCTTAAAATAAAATAAAATAAAATAAAATTCTTAGGTATTTTTCCAGAGATTTAAAAAAAAAAAAAAAACATTCCTGGGTGTGTATTCTTTGTCCTCCCTTTTTATATACAAATGGCAAATGGCAATGCAAATGACTGCACCTTGCTTCACTTGTTGAGGGGGCCTAGGAGCAAGCCTACATCAGGGCTGGGGCAGAGTGCTGGCTGGGTTTGAAGTTCGACCCCCAGCCCAGGCCATCTGCAACTAAAATCCCATGACCCATTGGTCTGTTTGGTCTGTTCCAAATAAAAGAGAACCTCTCCTTCCTCCAGCCTGGCACGCTCCTGCCCCGCATGGCCACCTGCATGGGAGCTGCTGCCTAGGCTAAAATTAGGTAGAGAAATTACAGGACTGGAAATTCAGAGTGACCATAACTGTCTCCAGTAAAACGAAGACCCTCAGGAATGTGTTAAGTCATAATCAGCACCTTGGAGAGCATTCACTCTCCTAGAAGTTTCAGGAGATGGGAGTTGGTGGTCTCAGAAGACCAAGGACTTGAGTTTATCAACTCCAGCCACTCCAGAGTGTCAGGAGTTGGTAGTGAGACCCAGCAAGGGTTGGGAAACTTTTGCCCCAACTCTGTGCTGCTGACCTTGAAGCCAGAGAGGGATGAGGAGGAAGTCGTCTCCATACAGAGCCCTCTAATTGGTACTGGGAGAAGTTAGAGATAGTTCTCTAAAGAGAGAACCCACGTTGATAGCATATATCTTCTTTCAATGTCTGTCTCGCCCATGCAGAATGCAAACCCTGCAAGGGCCTCTTACAGAGCCCAACACACAGCAGGAGCTCAATAAATGCGTTTTGATTGCTAGTATCAGAGATACTGTACCAACCCCCACCCATCTCTATCTGCCTTAGACAGCCAGGCACCTATCTTCTCTGGCTCAATCTTTCTTTCGTTCTGCAGAGGGAAGCCTGGAGCCACAGAATGAAGACCTGATTAACCGGATTAATGAGCTTCAGCAAGGTAAACTCCAGGACCTAGACTTCCTAGCTAGCCAGGAAGAACCTGGACTTTGAATGCCACCACTTCGTCTATAAAATCCAGGCACCTCCAGGTTGTTGAAAGATGAGTGTGCAGTGTCACAGTGTGCAAGAGAATAGCAAGGTTAGAGGCTGCACTCACACAGTGTCCTCTTCTTTGGCCCAGCAAAGAAGAAATCCAGTGAGGAACTGGGAGAAGCCCAAGCTCTCTGGGAGACCCTGCATAAGGAACTGGACTCCTGTAAGTAGGACCAAAAGAGGGACCCACAGATCTTATGAGCACTGCTGATGTTCTCTGCACACCTCAGGGTCTTGGCATGGGCTGTTCCCTCCATCTGCAACACTCTTATCTGTATAATACCAATTGCCTTTTGCTATCTCAAGTCACCTTTGAGCTCTCAGCCCCAACTTCATTCTAACAGATCTCGCTTGACAGCCCCATCTAAACATGGACTACCACCTTCCCTCTGTCACCCCCACTCCCCGGCTTTATTTGTTTCTTCACAGCCTGTATTTCCACTTGATACAGTGTATTTATTTCTAGTCATCTCTCCCATTGGTATAAACCCTGTGCACTCTGCAGGGTCTTCACTCCTTTGGCACTTATAGAGAATGTGGACACTGAGGGGGAGATGCTGGATCAGGATGGTCCCCAGTGGGAGATGGGTGCAGGTGGCAAGAAGATACCTCCCCTGCCCTGGCACTGTACCATGCCTTCTGTAACTTTGATAAGCCTTTGCATGAAGTTGCAATGAGGGCACAGGATCTGGCCTCTGGAGGCTCAAAGTGTCACTGTGTTTTCCAGTGAATGGAGAGAAAGTGCACCTAGAGGAGGTCTTGAGCAAAAAGCAAGGTATTTATCAGCTGCTCTGTCTTCATTGTTCTACCCCATTTTACTCACAAAAGCCCACACTTCCCAGAACAGCTAGATTAATCCCATTGAAACCTGAGTCAGGGTGTGCTTCCCTCTCTGCTCAGACCTTTGCCTTAGCTGCCACCTGACTCGAAGTAGACACTAAAGGCCTCCAAGTGCCCTCCAATGTGTGATATGATGTGGGGCCCATTACCTCCACCCAATCCTGACTCCCCAAGAGGTCACACAGGGCTCCCTTGGTTCCTCTCCCCACAGAGGCACTGAGGATCCTCCAGCTGCACTGCCAAAGGAAGGAAAGTGGAGCTCAGAAGTAAGAGGTCCTGCTCAACTCTTCCCCCACCTTATTTCCCAACCTGAAGGAGGAGGGAGCAAAAGCTAGGGAAAATATACCTTGGACACACACTCCTCATTTTTCCTTTCTGTAAAATAGAATAGCTAGACAAGAGACTTCCCTGCTCATCTTTGATTTTGGTTGGTGGTGTTGAGATTAACTCACTCGTTTGATCATTCATTGCTAGTTTCTTTATTAAATAAATTTCACCCCCTGTTGTTATTCTAAATCTTCTTCTATTGGCTATCCAGCTCTTCCACCATCCATTCATTTGTTTATTTATCTGCCCATTTAGGCCTCCAGTCATCCACTTACCCACCTGTCCACCCACTCACATTCATCCATTCATGCACACATCTATGCAGTCCTTTTCCAGCCAGCCAGCCAGCCAGCATTAAGTCTCCATGTTGCAGGAGTGCACAGAGCAAATTTCTGTCCATAACTCTCAGGTCGCAGAGAATTGCAGACAGAAGAAGCTAGGGTAACTGCTGGGAGTAACCCCGGGTCCATGGCCCAGTGTGGTGCTGGTTCGGCATGGGAGTGGGGCTTGCATCAGGGAGTTTGTTGGAAGAGGAGCTACTGGAACCAAGGCTTGGAGGAGAAAGCCCATAAGGGGGCTCCTAGTAGAGGGAGCACTGGGCAAAGATCCAAAGGCCATCCAGAGGAATCCCCTAGACTGAGCCAGGCTGGATGTCAGTCCTAGCATGTATTCTCTCATTCCTGGCTGTTGGCCCCTAGGTTGCACGTTGAAGAACAGCTGGAGAATTTGATGGGCCAGCACAAGGACCTCTGGGAATTCCACGTGAGCCATCCTCATTGCCTCCAACCACAGCCCTTCCTCTCCTGCTTTCATTGTCTCCACTGACTGGCTCAGTGTCTACCCACTGGTCACCCCAACTCCATGGGATAGTTTTGACTCCTTTCTTCCTCTTACCCACCTACTCAGCCCTTCAGCTTTTACCTTAAATTTAGCCACGTCTTACCATTGCCACCATTGCCACACTGGGCAATTGCCCAGACTGTTGCCCAAACTGTTACAGTAACCATTGCTGAGCATCCTGCTTTCTTCCTGCTTACCTAGAGTTTGCTCCCCTTGCAGTGGCAAATACGAACCCTGAAAAGGCCATGGTCTGATCAACGTTCCAGGCAGGAGGAGACAGTGGGGAGCCAAAGGGGCCAAGTATTTGCTTGTCCCCAGAATAGTTGGGTGCAAGGGGAGGCAAACTCAGACTCTAAACAAAAAAATAAGTAGATCATGTAATGTCAGTAGGGAAGGCATCCCGGAGCAGGTGACATCTGAATACAGACATAAAGTAAGGGAGGAAAACATGCATGTATCTTGGTGCAAATGTTCCTGGAAGAAGGAAAGGCCAATGCAAAGGCCCTGAGGCTGAAGCCAGCCTGGGGTATTTGAGAGAGCAAGGCGGGGGGGAGGATGGGGGGAGAGAAGAGATGAGATTTGAGAGGTACACGGAGACATGGGGAGCTTTTGGAGAGATGTGTCCCTACCACCAGGCCACAGCTGGAACTGCACATCGAGTTAATAAATAGTTGAATGAATGAATGAATGAATGAATGAATGACATAATTCGGGTAAGGACTTGCCAAGGGGGCTGAGAGGACAAACGGACAGACAAGTCTCCTCTCTCGCAGATGTTGAAGCAGCGGCTGGCCCGGGAGATATGTGCCCTGCAGAGCAGCAAGGAGCAGTTGCTCACTGAAGGTGGGGCCCCCGTGCAGGGTTGGGGCTGAGGGGCGGGGCCTAGCCCCCTGGAGCTCCTGGCCCCGCCCATGACGCTCCGCCCACCCGCAGAGAAACTGGCGCGGGCCAAGCTAGAGGAGGTGGAGCGGCAGCTGAGCTCGGGGCGCGCCCTGGCGGTGAACGATGGGTGAGAGGGGCAGAGAGCAAGGGGCGAAGGGGAAGGAGCAAGGAGGAGGGCAGTGGGCCGACTTTCCCCCGTCACCGCCTCCAGCCGCCCCTCCCGGAAGACCTGGCGCTGGAGCGGGTCGGCGGGGCCTCTGGGGTGCGGCGCTCCTTGCACCCCAGCCGCTCGCGGAGGCTCCGGCCGCTTGGCGTCTGAGGTCTACGTCGGGATCTTGGTGGCTTCCTCCCCGCGCCGCTCCACTCTCGTTCTCTTCTTCCTCTCCGCGCCCCCTGCTCTCCAGGCTGAAGGCGGAGCTGGAGAAATTCGGGGGCAGGGTCCCGCCCTAATCCATTGCACCCCAAAGGACGGGGCCTGCAAAGGAGAGGTAGGGAGCCCGGCGATGCGGCGCGGGGGCAGAGACGGCGGGCGGGGGTGCCCTCGGAGTCTCTTGGAGAAAGCATCAGTGGGGAGCAGGGCGCCCGGCGGGGGACGTGACGGATAAGAGTAAAGGCAGCCGCCGGCCTGCGTGCGGGGACGCCAGCGCCCTCGGGAGCCGGGGCCGGCAGCCTGACTCGCCGCTCCCGCAGGCTGGCCCCGAGCGCCCGGGCGCCCTCCGCGAGGACCTGGAGCCGCCCCCAGAGCACTAGGACCCGCCCGAAGCTCCCCACCCCCACCCCCTTCGAGGCCGGCCGAGAAATAAAGGCGAGGATTTCGGACCTTCCTCCACCTCCTGCCTGAGTCTGTGCTCCCCTGGGCTTGGGGGGGGGGGGCGGGGGGGTTGCTCACGACGGGCCGGGGGCGTGTCCAGGCACTCGGGGCGGGGCTTCGGCCGGGCTCCGCCCATCAGTCACGTGGCGGGCTCGGGGAGCTCAATGAATGTTCGTGAGCATCACAAAGGACACGTGGATGCCTAAGCCACCCCATCTCCTTGGCCTCACGTCGGGTTCCTAACTGTTTTACCAACAAGGGCTAGAGGGAACATGTTAAAAACCCATGTAAAGTCCTGCCTGTCTCCTGTGGTTCAGAGTAAATTCCAACCTCCCAAGAGCCCCCGCATTCCCCACAGAATCCCACAGACCTCTCAGCCTCCCCCTGCTCCCCCTCACACGTTCGGTTCCAGCCCTCTGCTTTTGCACCCTCTCCGAGCACTTTTTCCTCTCAGGGCCTTTGCCCAGCTGTGTCCTCCTGTGGGACGCCCTTCCCCAGGGCCTCGAACAACCGCAGGTCTGTTAAGTCTGTCAGCTGCCTTGGAGGCTGGCCTGGGGGACCCTACTTCAAAAGGCACCTTGCACCAGGGTGCTGTCCTTGACTAAACATGTCTTCATAAAATGTCTGTGCTGGTTGTCCGCTGTGTGCCAGGCACCAGTGTTGGCCCTGAATTTAAATAGCATGGTCAGGGGATGTCTCACTGAGGGAGTGGCGCCAGAGCAGGGAGGTGAGGGGGCGAGTGAGGAGGGGAGCCCTGTGGACATGGGGGGGGGGGAAGGTGCCCCTGGCAGAGGGAATGGCTCGTGCAAAGGCTGTGAGGTGGGATTGGGCTTTGTTGTGTTTGAGGAACATCTGGAGGGAGCCAGTGTGGTGGAGCATGGTGAGGTAAAGAGGGAGGGGGGATAATACTGGAGAACTGCTGGGGACCCAGTCAAGTCGGGCCTTGTCTGCCGAGTCTGTGTAGTGTTCCGAGAAGGAGCCCTGGCCCCCAGCAAACACTCAGTATAGGTTAGCTCTCACTTAGATCCCCTGGCCCACTGCCCACCTGCGTTAGGCCGGCCTCCAAGGATCTTTAGGGAGCCTTGGTGTCTGTGTCACACAGATGGGACAGCCTGGATATTCTACCGACTTACCATTTTCCTCCTAGGATTCAAATCCTGGTTTCCCTGCTCACTTGCTGAGTAATCTCAGCAAACTGATGGTCTCCCAAACTCAATTGCCAGATTTGCAAAATGATACCAACCTCACAGAAATTACTATAAACCTAGCCAACTCCTTGCTTCTCTAGGAAATCTCCCCTGAACCCACAGATAAGCTAAATTGCCTCATGTGGGTACAGTATAAGGCAAGGGTTGATTGGCCCCCCCAAAGAACTCTGAAGAGTGGAGACTGACCAGCCTTATTTTTCTCCCTGGTTTCCAGTAAAAGCCCTGAAAAAAAACTGCTGAAGACAAATGTCCCTTTCAGTTATTGCCTGGATATTTTTGTACATGCATGAAATCCCCTGAAATTCCTTGGATCTGAAGGCTACTGATGATTAATTGTTAATTGTTTCCGTGTGCCGAAAGTTCTTAACCGTTTTTCTTCTTTTCTCTCGTATAAGATAAATACTGGCTTATTCCATATTCCTGGAGTTCCCCAAAAGCTCAGACTTTGAGTGGTTGCTTCTTTACTCTCACACACTTCTCTTTCTCAACGGCTTGTAAGTTAAGGACAGTTGTCAAATTATTCCCTGGGGAGGAAAGGATCAAATGGTGTTCCTAGTCAGGAATTCTTTAGCCTTTTCATCTTCATTCTATTGGGACTGTGGGTTTGGAAGGGGAGAATAAAAGGACAGGAGACTGCTATTTGGGAACGTTGAAGAGCAATATGAGACGTGCACCTTTATAAGATGGAGGGAGTCCTAGATGGGAGCTGTGCTGCCCAGCGTGACAGCTCCGGGCCCCAAGGGGCCCCAAGGGGCTACCGGGCACTTGGAGTGCAGCTGGTCCAAATGGAGACACGCCCCAAGTACAAAATGCACGCTGGATTTCAAAGACCTGGAACAAGAAAAAAATTAAATGCATCCTTAATCATTCTTATGTTGATTACATATGTAAATGATACTATTTTGTGAATAGTTATAATCATAACGTTTAATATATTGGCTTAAATAAAATATTAAGGTTAAGTTCACCTTGTTTTTCCTTGTTTAATTTTTTTAATGTGGCTAGTAGAACATTTTAGGTTACATATGTCACTCACATTATTTTCTATTTCTATTGGACAGCACTGTCTTATTAGAGGGTGTGGAAGGGGACTGGGCCATCTGCTGTGCCCCTGGCCCCTTTGTAGCTGTTACCTGCAGGACACATAGCTCCTGGTCTCCCGGTGTCTTCATCTCACTTGATGCCTTTCGTGCCAGGAGCTCAGCACTGAAGACTGGAACAGTGTTTCACATGGGATGGACACGTATGCAAGGCACACACACACACCTGCATCCAGATCCCTTTTCTGTGTATACATCTCAGTTTGTGGATGAACAGATCCCATAGTCTTGCATCTCAGAAAACATTTTAGTGTATTTGAAGGGCATAATCTTGGTATACCAGATGTCCTTGCTCACTCAGGCAAAAATGCTGATTTTATCCCCTGAACACCTACATAAGTATAGTTTCTTCTAATGCCATTAGCAAGAGGTTCAAAATGGCTACGCTACAAAATTATCAGGCTTCAGGAATGCATTTTACACAATTGACATGCCATCAAAACTGTCGAACTGGCTAGTGAGGAGCAGGATAATCACATGTTCTTAAAATTTTATCCCAGTTTATGTATTAACTCTGAAGGGGGATGTGACTTTATAGTGGGGAGATAGAACTGCCTGAACCAAGGGCCAAGTGTAGCATGACCAGTCGTGGGACCAGATGAGTGGGAGGTACACCTCATCACCCATGTGGGGTTCTTGATGAAGATGTTTAACTTACGTTTAATCAGTTGGAATCCATACAGCGAGAAGTTCTATAGGACAACCACCTTGGACATCTGGAACAGGTCAGTGTCATGAAGAATGGAGAAGCTCTGATGTATTAGTTACCTATCACTGTGGTGACGAATTACCACAAACTTGGTGGCTAAACAATACAAATTTGCTACTTCACAGTTCTGGAGGTCAGAAGTCCCAGTTCTGGTGGACTCAGCTTACATTCTGGAGGACTAAAGTCACAGTGTCATCAGTGCGGTGTTCCTTCTGGGGGCTCTCAGAATCTATTCCTTACCTTTTCTAGCTCTTCAAGGTTGCCTTAAATACTTGACTCCCACACTCAGACCTCTGCTTCCATCATCACGTCTCCTCTGACCCTCCTGCCTCCTTCTTAGAAGGACCCCTGTGATGCAACTAGGTAATTCAGGAAAGTCCCCTAACCCAAGGCCCTTAACTAAACCATGTCTGCAAAGACCCTCTAGACACACTAGGTAACATACTCCCAGGTTCTATGGAATAATGGACAACTTTGGGGGCCATTATTCTGCCCACCACATTGGAGGACTGTTCTTGAATGGGAGAGACCAAAGGAAATTCATGAAACTTGAAGGGACCCTGGATCAAGGCTGGGAGAAAACATTGTGGGGGCCTTGGGGAATTTAAGAATAGAGTGAAATTTGGATGATACTGTGGAATTAATGTTGATTTCTAACAGTGGTACTGGCAGATGGTTGGTTGGAGAATGTTCTTATTTTGGGGAAATGAGGGCTAAAGTAGGTTTTAAGTTTCATAATGTCTGCCGCCAATGCTTGGATGGTTTGGCAAAGGGGAAGTGTGTACGTGTGTATGAGAGGGGGAGGATGAAGTGGGTGCAGAAAGATGGTAGTCAATCTAGGGGTTTATTGTATGGCTCTTTGTCAAAGATTTGAAATCCTTTAATAAATCTAATAAGTGGAAAATTGGGGTCATTTCCATAGCCCCTTCCTGTGTCCTAAATGTCCCAATGAGAAGCCCCTGAGATGGCAGGTGTTATATTTTGCATGAACATATGTAAAACCAGACTTGATCTATCCCCAGTCCCTAGGAAGCACACCCCTCTCCATTCAGACTCTTTTTCCAAAGGTGACTGTGCTAGTTCATGACGTTCTTGTTAGGTCCCAGCTCAACTCTGCCTTCTTTTTTTTTTTTTTTAAGATTTATTTATTTATTTGACAGAGAGAGACACAGCGAGAGAGGGAACACAACAAGCAGGGGGAGTGGGAGAGGGAGAAGCAGGCTTCCCGCGGAGCAGAGAGCCCGATGCGGGGCTCGATCCCAGGACCCTGGGATCATGACCTGAGCTGAAGGCAGATGCTTAATGACTGAGCCACCCAGGCGCCCCTCAACTCTGCCTTCTTTTTTTTTTTTTTTAAGATTTTTTTATTTATTTACGACAGAGAGAGACACAGAGAGAGAGGGAACACAAGCAGGGGGAGTGGGAGAGGGAGAAGCAGGCTTCCCGCGGAGCAGGGAGCCCGATGCGGGGCTCGATCCCAGGACCCTGGGATCACGACCTGAGCCGAAGGCAGACGCTTAACGACTGAGCCACCCAGGTGCCCCACAACTCTGCCTTCTTAATGAAATTTCTTTGTTGGTATTTAGTCCCTCAGAAATGAGAAGGGCATCTCAGGCTCTCCCTTGAGGTCTTTCATCTCCCCCCAACCACCACTGCTAGTTGGGAGATGTTCTGACCCTCTCCTTGGTCAGGATTTCAGGAATGACAAAGGGGAACGAAGCCTGCCTGGACTACAGCAGCCTCCATAAGGAGATGACAGCTCTCACACATGGTGGCCTTTCCTGGTCCACAACAAATCTGTGTCCTTTGGCTTTTGATTTGCCATTTGTTCTCCTGGATCAGCGGACCTCCCTCTTCCCCCGCCCCTACCTCCTCAGTCTGCAGAGTGCTGTGTTCATTTCCTGTAATTTGTTCTCAGAACTTTGCTTTGTCTTTCAGGTTCACATGTGAATGGCCCCCAGGGCTGGGGGGGGGTTGGTGGGGCTCAGCATTGCCAAAGGCTGAAGAGCATCTCAGAGAACCGAGCTAGAAAGGAGCCAACTGTGGAGAGTGGGCAGAGGAGCCAGAGGGACTTGAGGGGTTCCCAGAGAGGGGAGAGGGAGGGAGTGGCCATGTGACGTCATAGACTGTGTGCGGGCGGCGGGGGAGGCAGCGTGGTAATTCCTCTCTCTGCCCAGGCCTGGTGACTGACCTCCGGGCTCCTGGGGTACCTACCTCCCTAAGCAGCCCAGCTCCGCCGAACACCAGCTCTGTGGCTTCACCCAGTTACTTAGCTTCTCTGAGCCCGTCTCCTCCCCTGCAAAGCACAGGGTTGTTGTGAGGGCTAAGGAAATGATAATGTCAAGAAAGCGCGTAAGACAAGACTTGGCCTAGCATGAACGGGCACTCTGTTGGAGTTAGCGGCCATCATCATTACAGAGAATTTTTATATTTGCAGTCGGTCACCATCCCAGCAGTCCTACTGCGATCCTAATCAACACCATAGGTTTTTGTCGGGAAAGGAAACTGATGGCCGCTTACCAACCAGGATAAGGCTCGATTTCAATCCCAGGTCTTCCTGCGTGGAGTCTAGAACTCTTCCTGTTCTGCACACCACAGCACACATGCACTTTCCCAGTCCGCCCAGGTTTGTCTGGCTTTTTTTTTTTTTTCTTTTTGCTTCAACTTTTAAAAAAACAGAATTTAACTGAATAAAATTTGAAGGTTTTATTGGCTTTGTTCAATGATTCC